AGAGAAAACTGGTCCCCTCTGTTCCTATTATCATCCTCCATCCTCTGCATCTCTGCTAAACATGTCCAGCGTCCTGTATGTCCCCCACACCCAGGTGGGGGAAGAACTGACTGGCATGTTTAATGGCAGAGAGATAAAAGTAGCCAAATGGCAGCCGACCATAGGTCACAGTAAAGGTCAATGGGCTTTACAAGGCAACCGGCTCAGACCTATTATAGGTCAATACAGAGGAATAATGAAAGACTAGCATTTAACCCAGCAAATTACTGTTTCTATCCTCAAAATGGTGAGGCCCCCCAATGACAGGGAGTTGAATTGGGCACCAGGTGGTCACATTGTGAGTGACACTTGATGTTTATCTTGCTATAGAGAGGCTTAGGTATTTCAAACGTCCATGAGCACTTTCTTTTCTCACAATCACAATTTTATGGCAGGCAGCATATGTGACAAAGATGACTCGGCACTACTTTTCTTTAAGAGATGTAGACGTGGTTTTCCAGATAACCCTTTTTATTTTCATGTAACTGCAGTAGCCAGACTTGTCAAATGCAAAATGTTGTCCGAACACAAGCTACCATCAAAGAACAGTTCTGACATAATACAGTATATAGTCATTAAGTAGCACAGTGTGGGTCCGATAATCAAACTGAATTGCCATTTTGATTTTTCATATCAACCATTTTGTTTTGGATGAGGATGCCCTAACCAGTCAGCAGTGACTCAAGTATCGCCTGTCTCATTTTCACCTGGCATGTGAGCAGTGGTAGCAGCTGCTAGAAGATGTTACCTTTGATTGAAGAAATATGCAGATTTAAGAGTAGTTACCTCTATTCAGAACTTTTCTGCCTGAGAAGAAGAGAACTCATCACCCCTCGGGAACACGGGCTGCCTGGCACTGATTTATATTCTGTTATTCATTTTTAAAGCACTTCATGGTCTTGCACCAGCATACGTATTTGGCAGGCTACCTGTGTATGAACCAACACTGCTTCTGAGATCCTTTGCACACTGAGTCTTTTAGTTGTTCCAAAGTGCACGATAAAACTTTTAGTGAGGCAGCTCATAGTGTTCATGCTCCCAGCTGTCAGAACAGTCTGCCTGAGGAGCTGAGAGCAGCTGAAGGTGTCCATGTCTCTGAATTCCTGGAGCTCCACATTCCCTATCGGCCCCTACTGATCAAATGCTCCTGGTGAGTCCCAGATCCAGACTTAAACATAAAGGTGATAGGGCCTTTGCCATGCTCGGCCCTAAACTATGGAAGAGTCTTGCATTAAAGACCCGATTTTCCCCAACTTTAGAAGTCTGTAAATCTTGTTTGAAAACCCACCTGTTTTCTCTGGCATTTAACTCTAGTTAGAGTTTTTGATATGCAAATAGGTGCTAAATTGAAATATCAACACAAAATATTAGCTGTTAACATCTTCATAACAAAATTATTAAACCCACATATTAGTCAAACTCTGTTCATCTGTCTTGGTGGGAAAGTGTTCAATAGGGGATAAAGATGAGCTGTTCACTAGTATAGCTCAGAATTTATAGGCATATAATCAGTTACCTGTTTACTGACTACAGAGGCATCCTTTTATTACTTGTAAAAGATAAGGCTGACAGTGGCTGTTCACGAGGTTAGCGATAAAGGACTGAGCAACCAGCCACATCTGATACATCACGGACTCCAGAATCATAATGGGTGGGTGGAGGGCACACGGTGCCATGTCATCATCTGCCTACCATCATCTGTGTTGACACACAGTGACATGGAGCCTAATTTCCAAGAAAGAACAGGATGCAGAAGTAGACCAGATGATAGGAAGGGTCAAATGATTCATGCAGCGGCGACAGAACAGAGCAGGCTGCCTGTGATGACTGTGTGAGCAAAGAGCCTTCATTTGCCATGACAAAATATTAACTAAGCAAGTTTAAATATGACTAGAGCTTCTCAGGACCACAGTGCTGCTGCTCCCCCACTGCACCATCACAAAAATAGGCCTATTTGAAAAATGTACTATCTTTATCTTATTTCTGGGTTGTTAATCTCAGGACTCTTTGGGTCACATCCAAAATTCTTTATAGATTTATATTAAAACTCAGCTTAAAGCTCTTGTAAATTTTATTTGCAATACATAAAAATGACTATGCATAATGTGCAAAGTGACGCTTGAAGTAACAAACCCACTGAATGTTATCACCATTGACCTGTAGGAAGCCTTTTAGCCTTTTTTAGCTTACTGTTTTGAGTTTCACACACAAATATGTTTTGGTTCATTCCTACCGCTCTCACTGACCTCGTTTCCATCTACACCTGGCAGCTATAATCAGCAAAAAGGATCTCACTTCAATTCTGATGGCTGCAACGCATTCCAAAGCAAGCTGGGACAATAAAGCATTTACTGTGTGATGTTGCCGTTTCTTTTCACAACACCTAAAAGACATTTAGGGACTGAGGACACCAAGTTGCAGTTCAGGGCCGGTAATGAGGTGAAACAATGAAATGATGATTCCATGTGAACCAGGTGATGTCAACAGGTGACTGCCTCATGATTTGGTACAAAAGTGGCATCCAGGAAAGGCCGAGCCCTTTAGGAGCAAAGATGGGCCGAGGACCACCACATCCATAAATGCTACTTAAAACTAGACTGTTCCAAAAGGAAGCTCTATGTTAACAGTGTCCAGAAGTTGACTGCTCTGGGCTCGAAGGCATCTGGGACGGACCATCACACAGTGGAAACGTGGACTCTGGTCAGACCAATCAGTGTTTCAGGTCTTTTTGGAAGGAATGGGCGCCGTGTGCTCTGGACCAAAGACTAAAGGACCCTCCGGACTGTTAGCAGCAACAAGTCCAAAAGCCAGGGTCTGTTCATGGTCTGGAGTTGTGTCAGTGTCCAGGGCAAAGGTCACTCACACTTCTGTGATGGCTTCATGAATGCTGAACAACACACAGAGATGTTGGAGCAACATCTGCTTCCTTCAAGACGACGTCTTTTTCAGGGACGCCCGTGTATATTTCAACAAGACAATACAAACCTCACACTGTCACATGACCAAGGCCTGGCTGTGGAGGAAAAGGGTGTGAGTGCTGGACTGGCCTGTCTGCAGTCCCCACCTGTCCCCAGTAGAGAATGTGTTGAGCAGTTTGAAATGCAAATTGTGTCAATGAAGACCCAGGACTGTTGCACCTTAAGACTTGTTTGCAGGAAGAATGGGACAAAATGACACCTGACACATTGAATCACTTGGTGTCCTCAGTCCCTAAACGTCTTTTAGGTGTAAAAAGTAACAGCAGCATCAGACCGTGCACACATGCTTTACTGTCCCAACCTGTTTTGGAATGTGTTGCAGCATCAGGATCGAAGTGAGTGTTTATTGTGTAAAATCTTATTTGATGCACATTTAATGTAACACACAATATACTTTTATTACAGTCAATTTTGTTATTTGTCTAAAATATTCATGAGTGAACCTGTAGCTGCTCTGTTTAAATATTTCTGATACATTTTTTAATAGCTGTTTCTTCAGAAAAAAGTGGGAAGTGATGTGTATTATGATTGCATTTTCTTTAACTCAAACAGTAGCATGAGGAGTGAGAGTCAGTATAACTGAACAGAACCAACACACATACATACTCAAACCCACACACACACATTTTAGCAACTCAAAAATAAAAGAAAAATAAAGGCCTAGTATTGCCCACACTGTCTGACTGACAGGTGGTCAGTGCATCACAGAAGCACCACAGCAGCCAGCCACTGAACCAAGCCCAAGAAATGAGACTGATTATCCAATATGATCTGATCTTATTTACTTTATTTTAGTCATTTATTGTGATTTTATTTTCCCATGTAAAGTACTTTGGTCAGCTGCATGTTGTTTTAAAGTGCTATATAAATAAATTTGATTTGATTTGATTTGATGACCTCATGGTTATGCAATTAACATAGGGCAAAATCATAAAAGGAAATGCCTTGAATAAAAATGAAGATTTTAAAAAAGGAGGAGCTGCTGGTAGCCCAGCAGAGCCAGTCTTCATTTCCCTACTAGAACACATTCAAAAAGATGAGGTTTGTAGCAACTGCATAAAGACAGTAATCCAGTCTGTTTTAATTGGATGCTTTTGTTGAAACCATTTCAGTTCCACATTTACAAAAGCATAAAGAATACATATAAGTATATATAGATTTGAGGGTTTGCCATTGAAGGCCTAAGTACTACCAACATCTATTTATAGCAATGCAGAGTGGTCAGAGTGGTTACACTGACAACACTGACACAGATCAGCCTTTATATTTGGACCTCAATGACTGAACCATGTAAACTGCTTTTAACTGCATGCCTGTTTCTATATTTTGAAAAGTAACATGTCTCATAAAGTGAAATAAAAACATGTGCTTTTCTGGTGTTTTCTGATGATATTACTGCACGTATTGTGCTTGTTACTTAAACGTTGGTTTTAGACTGACGAATTTCACACATTTTATAATAATGGCTGAAGGTAACGTTTATGCACCTTTTACTAAAACACACCTGATAATCCAGCTGCCATCAGCTGCCTGGGAGCCAGTGGCATTTTCATGTGAACAGCTGATACACAGGAAGCTGAGAGCCCATATGGAAGTGGCAGGTAGGTGTCTGCAGGTGACAGGCACTGTTGGTCTGTTAACATTTTCTATAGGACACCCTACAGCTCATCTTAACAGGCCTGCACAGTCACATGCTCTATGACTAGTGTTGACACATAACTCGACCACATGGAGATTTTTTGTTTCAGCTCCTGTTGTTGTTATTGTTGTTGTTTGGATCAACACCCTCCCACCCCAACCAGTTTCTGAGTTGATAATGGCTCCAGCATGCCTCATTGATTCTTCCCTCCGATAATCTCCACCAGTCATTCCTGTGCCTGTGTTGGGGGGGTGCGGATGCCTTAATGCACAGCAACATGATGTCCTACCTGTGGAGCAGAACAGGTGACAGTAATGCCTACGTGCGCAACGACGGACACTCACCAATTGATCTGAGTGCGCTTCGCCCACAGAAAAAAACAGGGAGTCCGAAGTTGGAACTAGCCGCCAGTCACCATCTTCTGCAGAGATGACGAGGAGAACGTGTGGAGCGTCTGGAAGTCCGTCAGGTGCGACACGTTACACAGCTTCATTCCAGCTGACACCGCTGAACCCGCGGAATAGTGGACTACACCGCACTAATACCACAGGGACAGTGCGCTCAATTCCATCAGCTGCAGGGAGGAGCGTCAAGTTACACACAGGTAGCCCAGACGTTACAAGAAACGACAGGATATGGCCTTCAAAGTAAAAGCAGAAGACCTGTCGAGAAAGACGGGGATAGAGTCAGCTTTAATTGGGCCTATATCCACGAGAAAAGGTGGAACATTCTGGAAAAACTATATATATATATACACACGCACAGCAAATTATGTTCTTATTCCACAAGTAAGTGTCAATAACATGCCATATTTAATATAGCCCATCTCAGAATGATGCAAAATTTGTTTATGGAGACTTGCACAGAATATAAATGGTTTTTAAAATAAATATGCCTGCCTCAACAAAGTTCAGTACACTGTAGGTTACCGTAGGCCTATTTCATTGTGCTTAGTAGGCCTAAAGTGTAAAATTGTTTAATTGGTGTAATTGGTGGCTTTTCTAACTTGAAATTCTCAGTATGTATTAGTATGTAGCTAAGCCAAACGTTCAGCTGAATATGCCATTACCATAATACGATGTAGGACTTTAAGTGTGCCATTTTAACAGTTTTTTTTATATTCAGTAATTCAGTGACTCGTGATAGCTAATAGGTATATATTTAGCCCACTTTGTAACAGTTACTACTGTAACCTTAAAATATTTTTATTTACAGAATTTAATATTTTATTTTGAAGTCATCATAGCACGGTTTCCCATTTAATTCGCGCTAATTCTTTTTGTCTTGTTTTGTCTTGGCGCTGCTACTTAAGGGATTATACCATTGTCTGTTTGATAAAGGGTATACCTAATCTATACAAATATTTAGAAATTGAGTCGCCTGTTCACCTGTAATTAGATCAAATCCAATCTCTAAATTACATAAACAGGCTAACTGATTTCCTCTCTCCTTATCTTCTTGTTGGAGGGAGAAGACAACTAACGTAGTGCCTCAGAATAGTAACAGACAAACAGTCCTGGAGCAAAAACAAAGTCAACTGGCTTTTCTCCAAAGGCTGTAACCATTTTGGTCAACAGGTTATTTTACATTCTCAATATTTTGTTTTATCTGTCATTTAATAGTATCAAATGACACATTTATAATTGTACCGATACCACTCACAACTGAATAGCCTCCAAATTAGAGTGGCATTATTTTAGAAATATTAAAGATAATTAACAGAATAGTCAATGTCAGCAGCCTAAACTTGAATAACATGGTAATGCAGATGTTATCTGCTTAACAACTCATTAGACTTCTCATTAACTATTCATTAATGGGAACTATGCCTCTGATTTATTCCAAGGGTAAGCATGCAACTGTTAGACTGTAGGAAAGTGAAGGTGTGGAGGAGTGCAAGCTCAGAACAGACACAACCATGGAGGATTGCAGCAAGTTGCTTTAAACCTAAAGTCTGATTGTCACTCACTGTGTACTGCCACTGCTGAAACTAAGTAATTAATACTCCTATTTTGCTCTATTTTGCTCTTATAGGCCATATAAGAGCAAGGCTTTGCATTCATGTGGTTTATTGATAGGCTACTTTTGCCTACAACTTCCTTTTGCAGGTAAATATAAATAGGCTTACATACCCTCATGCCCCACACTGTACGTCATGGTTCTGATTGTTTAAATTCTCATTTAAAAGAAAAATATTTAAAAATAGAAATAATATTTTTTTAAAAAACCTCCATATGTTTATTCCAGAAGAGATCTCACTCAGTTCAATGTGAAAGTTTATTTTATTGTATCTTAGTTAACATCAGTAAATTAACATATAACACATAGACTTTATGTTTGTGTCTTTTGGAATCACATTTCTTCTCTGTTCTTTGTTAGTCAGGAGTCACCAGAGGGGTGACAGGCTCCACTAAATTATTTATGTAAAGCCAGATTTTCAAGCAGGACTTGGTAACCTAAATTGCAGTCATTGTGGGCACAGTCAACAGCAGTAATTGTAATGAGCTGAGAAACTGCTCAGGAATTCAAATATCATTGTTAGATCATTTGTTCTCTCCTCATTTTGAAACGAAATGCTGAGAAAAGAAACATTTCTATTACTACAGACTGTTATGCTGCTTTATAGCCTACTTGCTACATTTTGGAGAAGGCTATTGCCAGATTAAAAATCCATACATATTTTTAATATAAAGTATACATAAAATAACAATACAATGAGTACAAAAATAAATAATGTATAAATACTTTTTTTCAACCTGACATGCTTTCACTGTTGTACCTTTAGGTTCCCACAGAAGTATCTGTGCCATGTTTCAAATGATTTCCCATTAGACAGGGCAAGTGTCTAAGAAAGCATGAGGAACACACTGGGGATCAGTGTTGGACAGGGAGGGAACTGCAGGTTTTGAAAAGACACCAGATGTTAATGACTAGCAGACTGACAACAGATGATACCAAAAAACCACTGGCTCCCACTGTGACAGTCCAACCACACTGAATAGTCAAGTTTAACTGGAAAAACCAGTACGCTGGGCACACTGGTTGAGTTGCAGAATACCAACCAGTTTTGGATTAGAATAGCCTAATATAAACTGCAAGAGGAAAAACCTTCTTAGAGTATTATGGAGCTAAATCAATCACAATTTTGATGGCCATGACACTTTGTAAGGAATATTATGGTGATAACAGAGGAAATACAATCTTAACAATAAAATCAGTATTAGATAAAATACATTTTAAAATAATTGCAGTTAACGGTGACTACAACAGATTTGCTATACAACATAGGCTAATAAATGATGTTTTGTCCCGTCATTTTGGTTAGCTTTAAAATTAATTTGTGTTTGCTTTTATAGGTGACACGTTCAGAAAAACACAGTTTTTTAATTAAATGCTTATAAGTACATAATTATTAAACGTAAATAATGTTCAATTTACGAGAATTCCCTAGAATGCATTTGACATTAAAGTGGAACTGAAGTGATTTAGGCGGTAAACCCAATACACCCCGGACTACAATAAGGCACTTTCGCTTTTGCGGATTAACATCCGATTGGTCAAACTGGAGAGACGACTCACTCGGCCAATCACAGCCGTGTGTTGGAGTAGCGTAGGCAAAACAAAGGCTCGTGATTGTTCACAGCAACGCCCTGTGTTAAGTGAACACAAAGCGATTAAAATGTACCCAGTGTCGGAAGTTGAGTGAATTTGCAATTAAAAGAAAACAGAGACCGTCAGCGCAGGCGGCATCAACAACAATACATTATCATATTGTATTCCATGTGGATAATTACCCCTAGAAGTCATAAATAAATGAACTATAATATGATATCCCGTTGTCGTTTACAGTGTAGGTTAAGTGCATACATGGCTTACATTCTGGATGCTACCCGCCATTAAATATAACAAAGACGAAAAAACGACGACGACGAAGGAAGCTTAAATCTTTTATTTTGAAGAACCTGGACAGATTTCCGTCTGTTCGTCTTAGCCGACTTGACCACGACGGTAGTAATTGTCGTCAGTTTCTTCCCTAACTTTATCAAGCTTCTACGACTCTTTTTGGAATTGTGTCTTAAACCAACATGGGAGCTTGTTTGGCACTGAGTTCTCTTGCCAGTTGTGTGAGTAGCCTGTATAATTACCGTTCATACATATTTCAGCGTCAACTAGCAAACCTTGCTCATTGTTTACCAGTTGGTTAACCGCAGCTAAGCCAACTACATGTTTTGTTGTGGGCGACGTAACCTCAAGTGAAACTAGTTTGAAGTTGACGAACTTGTGGCTCGTTGTCAAATGTATGTCCACCTTAAACTAATGTTTTGGCAAATTTGGCTTTTATGAGGTAATGGATACAGTTTGAGGCTAAAGTCACCAACAGGCAGGGCGGAATCGCTGTGTTACATTTCCGAGCACGGGTTGGCGTGGTGTGACGCTGGACGTCTCTCTGTGTTTTTAACTTGATTTATATTCATACGTAAGTCCATATATGACCGTTTTAGAATGTATGCTGTCAACGAGTAGTATGGACAAAATGTGTCACTGTCTGTTAGATGTGTCAAAACTGGCGTTTTCAGAAGGCACCGTTTCCGGGTTTTACTCCTTGGACTAAGGCCTCGTTGTTTTTGTTTCACTCGAGCTTCCCATTCTAATCATTCTTCACTTTAAAAAATTTAAAAGTGTATTTTAACTCCACAAGACATTGTAACATTTTTTCAGCATAGAAACGCAGTATGTTGTTATGATTTTTAACACTGGTAAAGGACTTTACTGGTAAAAGAATCTTTACAGATTGATCTGTAGGGTCTGTGGAACTGGTGTAAAACAAAATGATGTGTCCTAAATCATCTTGGTAAAGACAATTAAAAGATGCATTATAATTTGAATGAGGTCACGAGTTCTTAGTTTGTGACAAGTGATTTTAACTCTTACAAATTCCTTGAAGATCCAACTGCTGCTAGTCAGCTTCCTATCAAAAGCAGCATGAAAATGTCAGACATGCACACTCAACTCAACTCAACTCATCTTTATTTATATAGCGCTTTACCACAGCACAGCTGACCAAAGCGCTTAACATACCATACAAATCTAAAATCAACACAAAAAAAATTATAAACAATAAAATAAACACTAACACTACAGACAGACAGTCTCATTTCTGGCCAAACGCCAATGAATACAAGTAGGTCTTCAAATAAGACTTAAAAGTAGACAGTGAGGGGGCCTGCCTAATATAAAGCGGCAAAGCATTCCACAGGTTTGGACCTATCACAGCAAAGGCTTTATCCCCCATAGTTTTCTGCCTGGCCCTCGGTGCCTCCAGAAGAAGCTGATCAGCTGATCTGAGGCACCACGATGGATTATACGGACGCAAAAGTTCCACGAGATAAGATGGTGCCAGCCCATTTAAGGATTTATAAACAAATAAAAGAATCTTAAAACAAACCCTAAAACGCACCGGAAGCCAATGGAGAAGGCCAGCACTGGCGTTATGTGGTCCCTCTTACGCCCCCCAACCAATAACCGAGCGGCAGCATTCTGGACCCTCTGGAGGTGGGCAAGACCCGATTGACTAACTCCAGCGTACAGTGCATTACAGTAATCCATACACGATGTAATAAACGCATGGATCACTGTCTCCAAATGCTGCCACGACAAATAGGGTTTTAGTTTGACTAACTGCCTTAAATAGAAAAATCCAGATTTTACGACCGCATTTATCTGGCTCTCCATTTCCAAATCGCAGTCTATTTTAACACCCAAATCGGTGACCACCAGTCGCACATACTGCTCCAAGTAACCTAAGTTTACAGGAAGAGGGTCGCCAGACGTATTCTGGCCAAACACTATAACCTCAGTTGTAGCATTATTTCACTTTAAACAGTTTAACGACATCCAGCCCTTAATATCGGCAAGACATGCTAAAAGCGGTTGAATCGAGTAGGTGTCCTTCTTACTCAGTGGCACAATAATCTGGACATCGTCAGCATAGCAATGAAAAGAGACCCCATGTTTCCTAAAGACGGAGCCAAGGGGAAGTAAATATAGTGAAAAAAAGCAAAGGCCCCAGAATGGAGCCCTGTGGGACCCCAGATAACAAAGGGCTTGTCACAGATTCCACATCTGCCAACCCGACAGACACTGATCTACCTGATAAATATGACTTAAACCACGCTAGGGCAACACCACGAATGCCCACTAAATCTTGAAGCCGAGATATTAAAATATGGTCAACCATGTCAAAGGCGGCAGTCAAGTCCAGCAGGACAAGAATCACATATTTCATATCGGTGGCCAAATAAATATCATTAACAACCTTCAGTAAGGCTGACTCTGTACTATGCATGGGTTTAAAACCAGATTGAAAAACCTCCAATAAGTTATTCTCATCTAAAAAGGATTTCACCTGCGCATAGACCACTTTTTCCAAAATCTTCGAGATAAAAGGTAACTTAGAAATAGGCCTAAAATTACTCAACATGGATTGATCCAGACGTGGCTTTTTGAGTAGAGGTTGCAAAACTGCATACTTAAAATAACCAGGCACAACACCAGAAGATAACCTACTATTAATAATTTCCAAAACCGTGCCTCCAATACATGGGAAGACTTCCTTAAATAAAGCCGGAGAAACGACATCTCGAGGGGAGCCATCAAAACATCAAAAGTAGTCAAACAAGGAGTAAAGACCGAAGGATCGGGCACTAACCCAACCACAGTGGCCTTTGTAGTAGCAACCTTCTCATTAAAATAAACTAAAAACTTATTACACTGTTCAACCGTTGCTTCCAGACAGCTGAGGAACTGTAATGAACTGTGATGAGCACGATTAATTGTTTTTAAATGTAAAGCCTGATTCAACAGAATGCAATTTTAAAAATGCAAAAGTTTTGATATATACTGCCATTAGAGTTTCTCAACAACCTGAGCAGTGCCCCCACAGGTTTCAGACACACACACACACACACACACACACAATGTCATCTTCCACAGCCTTCACGTGAAACCTGCGAGTAAATTAGTGAGAGTATATAAAGAGACATCAATAAATTTTACTTGATGCTGCTAGTGTTAGGGTGATTTTCATTTTTAGATAGAAATGAATATAATTAGTTAGGGTCTTTTCAATTTACGAGAACACGTTCGACACTAGATGTGCTGAAAACAGCCACAGTAGAAGCAAACCTAAACGTTGACAACCAAGAGACAACGCTACCAATGTTAAAGTGAAGCGCTATGTTGGTTGTCTGCACCTATTTTGGTTTTAGAGCAGATGTGGAGCAGGAACAGGTAATGTACTGAACGTGCCTGCTATGGTACCGGAAATTCAAGCCACAAATTTTTGCCAAAATTTTAAAAAATTGCTGCCACCTGTCCCTTATAATACTGGATCATCCCTTATGATAAATAAAAT